GAACGCATCTTTTGTATGCACCTGGTGTATAAAGCAGTATCACAAAAAAAATCTTCAATTACTGTCTGCTACTGAAGACCATTGAGAAATATAAAGATCACAGCAGTCACTCATCATCTGAGCACAGAGGGCCTCTCTTAACAATTACAGGAAGATACAAAGGGTTGGACACAATAACATGATGCATATTAAATATATTCAATCCAATGAAACAGCTTCAACAAAGCAGTACAAGTGTAATTGCATGGCAAAGTTACAACGACACTCATCCACCTTAGCTGGAAAAGCCAGGTGGAAAAAAACTTGCTCTACTTAAATTCTTCACACACAAACAAGATTCCAAATTTGCAGCCATTAAACAACAACACTGTGACGATGAAACTTCACCAAAAACTCACCAAAGTACTAACGCAGCCTTTTCCACATCTCAGGTGCTCATAGTAAATCTCAGCCTTTTCTCTACAAACATTTCTTTTTGCTAAAATACTGCTAAATAATCCACTTCCTGAAATCCTCTCATGCACACTTTGTTAAGAGTTTTGTTTCTCATTGGCTCACCTGATGCCATGTGGCCTACGGATAGCCAATGAATGACCACACATGAACAACAAGACGTCCAATCAGATATCAGTCTGATATCGCTAAATGCTGCGTTCAAATGCAGCTCCTGAGGTTGTATTTTTGACAGCTTTCCATGGCTGAAGTTGGTGACAGTAGGAAACACAAGTGGACATCCACTTGTTCCTTTTTAAAGAATGGTAAGTTTTTTTCTTCCTGTCATGTTTAGGAATTGAAAGTAGTTGACAACAAATGGTTAAAATAAAATAAACTTACAGAGTCATAAGAGCCACATCTGCAGGTCATTGAAATGGGCTTGTCAAATCAACATTTTAAACACAAGACAATTTCAAAGTGCCAAAAATATTCTTTACATTCCTCAACTTTACATACAAGTTCACATTTTTAAGTCTATCTTGATACAACACTCCCATAATAAATGCATTAAAGAGTTATTGGTCGCTGTAATTAGAGATGTAAAAAGACATTCCTCCTACTGGTACAGCACGTTTCAGCAACAAGGCCATTAAAATTGCTTTAAAACCTCAAAGCAACATAGGGAAATCTGAAAAACGCACTGCGACCGAGACAGCGGACAAATTTACTAGAGATTCTACTCTGCCCTGTTAAGACTTGGGCTGACTATTTATGAGAGAGGAGAAATCAGTAGTTTCCAAAACAACAAACATCTGATTTTCACTTTCGCTTTTTTTTTTTTTTTTTTCTCTCACACCACAAACACAAACTGTAACCTTGGAACATAATTTGTCAAGTTAAGTCAGCCGAATTAACTCATATTAACTTCAGCAGAACTTTAAAATGCGAACATTTCAAATCTCCATCCTAAACACTTCTCATCCATGTCGGCTAAAAGGTTGAGCTCGAACGTTCATTTTGTTCTTAAACAAAACAATCTAACAATAACAAGCTCCATTTAGTGGCTGTTCTGGACTTCACATCAGCAGATGGAGTTTGCCCACTGAACTGCAGATGCCCCACCATGGTCAAGAAAACCTCAAAGTGCACAGATACCTTTTTTTACTTAAACATCTTAGATCCTGTAACAACTCAGTGAACTTAACTGATCATTACATATCATTGTAAGCTCCAGAACAGCTACTGAATGGACCATGCATGAGATTAATAACTGTTATTAAATTCGCTCAACTGCTCAAATACTGACATTATTTGCAGTTATCAAATCTAGGTATGTTTCATTGTAACGTTCTGATGCAAAGCTCCACACACTCTGTGATGCCTAACATGCAGCATGGAAAAATTAACCTGCGAGGGCCCGGGGCCTGCACTAGAAGCAGCTCCTGTAGGAATCTGGTATCAGCTTACATGCCGCATTGTAGGATGACATGCGATCTGAAAGCCACCACAGGCCCTTCCACCTTCTACTACCATCATCTTTTGTTCTCCTTCATTGTACATCTTTCCAAGTGGGTCAGCAATCGTGCGCGGAACGTGCATGAGACACCGAGCGCCCACGCCATCCCGGATTCCAAACACGTTTCCCATTCTTCCTGAAACAACTGCCGGGTTAATGAACACACAGCGCGGCACATAACGTCCCACCAACCATTATGGATATCCAACACAGCTGCTGGAAGGCTTTCATGCAGAGCTGGCTAATGTTAATCATTTCCCAGAGTGTCATTAAACGGGCAGATGGAGGCAACGCGGAGGACTCACCTCATTGGACTGGCGCTAAATGAAGCGGGAGGCAGAGAGATGGCTGATTGGCTACCTTCGAGATTGTTTTAAGGCTCAACTTTCAAATAGATGATTTTCCATCTAAGACCTTTCTAAAATGTAAAAAAGAATCAAGAAAACTGTAATGTGCAGATAATTTTCAATAATTTTGAAAGACTAGACGGGACTTTAAACAAAAGCTTGATATCGCATTTTGAAACCCAAAGCTTCAAACAATGGCTGTGTTTGAAACGGGCTGAACTCCTGTCTCAGAAGGTGTCTAACAGGACAGCGAGGCACCGAGTGCTGTTCCAAACAGCTCGAACCACCTCTTGATCCTAAGATGCCTTCACACTGCCTCCGTAACGGCAAGTTCTGGAGGCAGCATCGATGGTTAGGCTGCCTATTACCCATAAACCAGCGCAGCTGCAGCATCTTACAAAAAACTGCCAAGATGGCGGACAAACAAACAATTCGTATACAAATATATGTTTTTAAAAGTTTTTAGTAGTTTTCTCACTTTTCTCACAATTAAACACTGAACTATCATATCAGCCCGTGACTGTAACCAAGAAAGTTTGTTAAGTATGATTTCTGAGGCGTCTGTTAGCCATTTGGCTTTTCAGTAGCTAGTTAGCTGGTGCTAAGGCTAGAAGACACGCAAGACGGCGTGGTGACGTCACACGTTGCTGTGTGCTGCCCTAGAAGGCTGTTCGAAACCAATGTTAACAGAGATGCCTTCACTTGAAAGTGATGCCTTCTGAGGCAGCTGTCTATTACGGGAGTAAGGCAGCGAGGCAACTGCCTCCCATCTTGGACACAGCCAATGAATGTTTGAATGAGGAAAAACTCCCCAAACCAAATATTTTCTCTCAGGGGAAACATAGAAAAAACTCAGATGAGGGATCCCTACCAGGGCGGATGGACAGGTAATAATGTCGATTCACAGACAGAAAGTCATAGTTTATACAATTATGGTGACAAAATATAGATTGTAAAAAAGTTAGCATATCATTAGCTAACTACATTATTTTAGGTGACGCTCAAAAAAACAAGCACTCAGGATGGACGCATCTGCTGTGTTGGTGGGCAGGACAACCTCATCCCGGCATCCTACTCTATCAGATGAGACCAATGTTAGCAGTTATGTCCTGCTCTTTATGGGATTTGAGGAAGTTTACCAGAGATTGCTCATTGGTTAGTCCTCAAATCCTAAGTAACACATTGCTTGTAAGGCTTCATGTACAAAAAAGTATAGTAAAGGCCAATTATTATTTATACGTCTTAACCTGACCTCCCCTTCACTGTGATTGGTCAGCTTGTTGTCTTCACGTTTCCTCCAAACCAGACATTTTCCAATAGACTATCAATGTAAAGTAAAATGGTGGATACATCAAAACCCCGGTGAAATGACTCGCTTCGCTATCAGAATTTTATCCATTTGGTCCGATAACACTTGGAAAGTCTAGAAGAGCCACACGATTATTATTTTACCCTTATTCAAGTTAGCGAAAGGCTAAACCGGAAGTCGCTGGATATAAAATGAGAAATTGCCTTTGTCTACCTCTGTCTGAAATCAAGGACCCATTGTTTCAAAACTTCACATTTCCATTGATGATTCTGCCAGTTACCATCGTAAACTGAATATGTGAATATGCTAATCTTGAAGCTTGAAACCGCTCAATGAACCACATCTCTGGTCTCGCAAAATATACGTCACCAACATGTTAGTGCTGTAATGCTAGCTAACGTTCATTGCTTTGTTGCTCCAAGTGTTTTATCCATAGACTATGTAAAAAAAGTGGATGTTGGTTTGTGGACTGCCGTTTTGAAGCCTCAAGTTTGGCTGATACCACCACCATGTTGAGTTTTTGCAACCAGTGGCACCGAACGTGACCATATTTGCACGAGACAGTGGAGCTAACGGCTGTGTATGGCGCTACCTAGCTTGCTTAGCTAGGTGCAACTGTAATTCATGTTAACTGTCATTTTAACAGGGCTGATAATTTTGTCTAGCGAACAGCAGTCTTAAAACTAAATGTACTCAGCAGAGACAGTCAACAGCCAACTCCTAATAAGCTGTTTCAACGGCGCTGGTTAAATTTACACAGAGCCGTGGGTGCGAGTCACTGGTCGCCATGGTAATGACTTGTCAATTATAGATAATCCCGCTCTGAAGCATACTCTGCTTTTGCTGTATTTTCCTCTAAATGGGACCATAATTTACTAAATGAACATCATGCTGTGTTGAAGAAGACTTGAAACTAGCGACTGAGACCAGAAACTCATCAGGAAAGTGTTTACTGAGGGAATAAATCAGCTGACAAGTAGAAACATTTTACCATTATTTCTAATGGAACCAGACTTCATTTTACAACCAGAGGAGTCGCCCCCTGCTGGCCGTTTAATAGAATGCAGGTTCAATTCAACAAGTTATGACGTCACAGCTGCGACTTTTGTAGTTTTTGTAATTACGTACTTTTACAGTTTTCCAACAACCTGCCACTTTCTTGACTTAAATTATCTTTTTTGCCAAACATCACATGTGTTATTCAGGACATAATTCAAACAGGATCAAAACATTTGTTGTCTCTCGATTTTGAGTAACTTACATATTTTTTTCTGCAATAAGGTCCCATGGCTGTCCACCGGAAGGGGAGGAACTTAGGCTCTCTATAGCAATAGCCAAGAAGAAACCTTTGTCACAAACATCTGAACGTATAAAAAGACAAAACAAAATAAACTTTGGTATAAAATACTTTAATAAATAATAGGATTGTTCTAAGAACAAACAAAAAAAATTCCACTAACAAACCAAGACTTATACCAAATTTTGTACAAAATAATTACAACGTTCTGCACATTCAGCCCCTCCTGTGTGACAACCATAATGTGAAATGTTGAAAGACAGACGATGAATTTGGGTTTAACGTGATTTGCATCAGCATTATTAAGAAAAACATAAAATATTGAAAACATAACGTTCATCCACAAATAATGACAATATTAGATTTTTTTTTCTCTTACTACCACTGTGGAGGAGATATTAAACATTTCTCTTCTGTGTGTTTTTAGTGCAGAAACAGACTCTTTACAAACACAAGACAACAACCACAACAGTCAACAACATCAACAACAACACAACTTGTTCCCTTCATTAGACCAGAATAGATACACAAGGACAGGCGGGGCTAAAGAGGGAAAACAGTTTTAGATACACACTCATCCAGTTCGAGCCGATTCCCATTCAAACAACACCTTGTTTTAATCTTCTACAATGGGGATTCAGTGTCTTGCAAAAGGGCACATTGGCGTGTCATCTCCAGTGTCAACACAGCGTAAGCACGAGCAGACTGAAGAGAGACTGGTAGCAATGCTTTTAAGTTGTTTGGACCCTGTGACCCGTAAGTGTGTATTGAAAATAGAAATAAGACCCGACTCTCAGATGCAGCACAGAGCTACTTTATTTTGTGCAGTTTGGAGTCCCTAATCAGGAGCGAGCAATGAATTAGACAGCGTGCGGCAAAGCTCCTCAAAAACTTTTTAACCAACTTGAGTCCCTAAAATTTAGAACGGGAAAAAAAAAGAATCAAAAAAAGATCGATAGAAATTACAAAGTGGATGCTGTGAAATCACATACACACAAACTACAAAACAAAGTCAAAAGCTGAAAGTCCAAAATCTGCAACCGATATTTCCCTCGATTTTAGCTGTTCTTGAATTTAAGTGTAGAGTCTCATTTTCTGATTACAGATTTTCAGTTACACGACACTACAGCTGCCAGAGGCCGCACACATTCAGGTTATCAATGTGCCATAAATCTCAATATAGGACTCACTGTAGAGTAACTTACTGTTTCCATGTACTGAGGAGTACATAAGTGAATGAGGGAGGATTTTCCGGACATGATACTATTGGATAAAAAGCAACATAATGCAAAAAAAAGAAAAGGTTAACTAAGGACCGTTGAGGAGCGATCAGCCGCCGTGAAGAGTTCAGGCACAAATGCTAAAATGACTGATCTCTAGACGTTTGGGAGAAAGACAACTACATTTCTCCATTTTCTGCTGGCTGCTGCAGGGTCGCCCGGTATATCCGGCCTGTACACTGATACTAACTCTACAGCTTTCGAACGGGATGCCAACAGGGTGTTTTTATTATTTACATACGTACATACAGCCAGTAGGATGTAAAACAACAGCAAAGTGTAAAAGAACTACAGTATTTGCCAAAGAACTGTCAGCCAACTGAGCTAAAACATTGTGTAAAAGCTGTCTTACTAAAAAACAGCACTGAACTAAATTTAGAACGCTTTTGGAGGGTCGACAATTTGAATTTGTGGGTGAAGAAGGGCTCTTGAAACATTGAAACATAATGTGCACACGGGGGTACTCAAACTCACAACTGAAATAAATAAAAATTAAATTGTTTTAGAAGGGTGAAGGGTGGCCCATAAGACTTGGATTTGTAGGTGTAGAAGGGCTTTTTAAAAATACTTTGAACTCCCAGATACCTCAAATAAATAGCTGTTACAGAAAGGAGAATCTTGCAGGTGGAGTGGCCCTCAGATTCAGTTTTAGTCCCTCAAACTCATCAATTTCACTCTGGGTGTCTCCAATGAAAGGACAGGGCTGTTGGGAAGGAGGTTCCTATAGACGTAGCACTGACTACTGAGCTTTATGAGCTCTAACAACCTCTCACAAATGACTGACAGGCCTAACAAACAGCTCTCCAAACTGTGTATTTATGTTCATAAAGACAAACAATCATGATCTGTCTTAAATCAATGATCCAGTGGGGCCTGGACACAGTCCGAACGTCTGTCGTAGTGTCAACAGACACTAATAAACGGAATGACATCATTAAAAAAAAAAACAACAACCACAAAAACAGTCTTATTCTTTAGAATAACTATGATACAAAGCATCACTTAAGTTACTAAATTCAAATATACACAGCCATTTTTTCATATTTACAAATGTACATCGCAAAGAAAATAACCTTTACTGTGGTTTAAAGAGTTGTTACTAGGACATCTTTCCCTTTATATGTATTTTAATTCTGCATAAACTCTATAGGTGGAGAGAGAAGGAGAAAAAAATAAGGGCTGAAGGCACTTCTCTACCAAAGCAAATACTGAAAAATCATCATGTAGACTTGTAGGAAGCAGTGACACTGTTATTTTAAAAGGATAAATGTAAGAAGCCTTAACACAAAATGGAAAAGATGTTTATGAATGTAAACAGAAATGCTCATGCCAGGTATCATACAGTGGGTTCTGTGTGCCAACTTTCAAGGACTTAAATGTTTATAAAAACTTTTTTTGCTGTTTTTTTTTGTTTTGTTTTATGAAAAGACATGATATCAAGAGGAAGTGTAGAAAAGGCCCGCAGGTTTGGGCTAAGGCAGACAGGAACCAAATGCACCAAACAGTAGAGACAAGGTTAACAGCTGCCAGCCAGTAATGTTCAGTTAGATCTCCAAGGTGAAACAAAGGTGTTAGTTCTGATGAGGCAAAGTGGAAAACAGCAACAGCTTGTAAACAGAGAGAAAAAATCAGGCGCAGTGAAAAGAAAATTCTTCTTGATTCCAACAGAGTGACGATTAAACTGAAATCCAGAAATCCAAAAGGTGTGATGTTTATTTTCCAGGTCTTTTTTTTTTTTGGCTTGTTTTGTTTTTCTGTATTTTTTTTGTTGTTGGTTTTTGGTAAAATAAGTCTCCATGCTGCAGACGAAGAAGTTAAATAAGGTCTGACAAACAAAAATAGAAAATGAAAGCATCTATAATCTTCACTTTTGGTGCTATTAAGAGTTGCAGAGTCAGTGACGTTGAAGACATCGCACTTTTTTTCCTTTGAGTCAGGAAGGTCCGTCCTCCTCTCGCGTGTTCATACGTAGTGGTCTTTAATGTCCTCGCTAAGCTTGGCGGCATTCAGGTTTTTACAGCGGTTGTCTTTCGGGCTGTACGCCGTCCTGTGCGGAGCCTTGACCGGACCGCTGCGTGTTGTGCAGATGACCCCACCCTTACCCATCATGCCCTTGTCCTGCGCCCCCCCTATGGAGCACTTCTGTGATGGACACTTCTCCCCCATGCCCAGCGCCCTCTCCTCATCTTCCTCCTGCTCCCCCTCCTGCTCCCCCTCCTCCTCCCCCTCGGCCCCGTCGCACGTCCTATCGGAAGGGCCCATCAGTTTCTTGCATTCGTACTGAATGTCTTTGTCGCGGTTGTCCTTAAGGGCGTGGCCCCGCAGCGGCTCCAACTGGTTGTTGACTGTCGTGTCCTCAGATCGGGCCGCTCTCTCGCGCTCTTTCTTCCTCTTGCGGGTCCACCAAACGCAAACAACGATGCAGAAGATCCAGAGGATGCTGAAGACGACGCACAGAACCGGGACCAGGTATCCTGAGGGAGGAAGTGGGAGGAGATGTTAGAGAGAAAGAAAATAAAGAACACTTGACCAACTAACTCTCTTTTTCCATCCACATATGTTAAATACACAAACATGTACATGTAGCTGTAAGACAGCTTTGGAGTCATTGGAGGGCCTTTAAAGAGCTAGGCTAGCAGTTTTCCACTTTTTCTTTTTGCTAAGCTATGCTAAACACATGAGACTAACATGACTAACAGTACTAAAAAGCAAAATATTAGTAGCATGTGACTCACCAACAGGAGGCGACTCCACCTGTGTCTCGAATTTGACCTCCACCACAGCCAGCATGACGGTGCTGTTGTGGCGTTTGGACAGGGCACCGATGATGCCGCTGACCGCCTTCTGGATCTGTCTGCGATCGCTATCCTTTGAACGCCCGTCCTGCTCAAAGGACTGCACAGATGGAGAGAGAGAGAGAGAGAGAAAGAGAGAGAGAGGACAGGGTTAAATTAGTTTTGCATTAACACCACATGTCACATGTTGAAAAAGACCAGCTTGAGTGTTTTCACCTTTGAGTCTGACCCTGAATAGTTGAAGATTTTGACAGTTGAATTTTTGCAGTGGTGTTGTGAAACGAGGATCACACCATTTTTGGCTATATGGGGGAGCACAACGTCTCATTTTAAACAAAACTACTGGTTTTCTCCCAATAAGTTCATATGCAGCCTATTATGATATAAATTAGTATAGTGTTGTAAATAAAGATGTTAAAAGAAAATAGCTTTTAATAAATCTTTATTAAAAATTCCAGGGAGACCTTTGTTGCAGTTCAGTTCATTTATGGTATACAAATCAACATGTAGAAACTTGAATTCTGGTAGAGCTAGGTTTTTATTGTCTTTATTCTTTGGTTAAAGTTACCATAGTTAAGCTGTTGCTTCGACAACTGAGATTTAATATTCTGATGCTGAAAAGACGTAAAAACAAACCAGAGGAAAATCAAAACAGAGTAAGTTGAACAGGTGTCTGTCTGACAGTCGATTCTGACCTTAATGTCAGAGTCAGTCCCTGCTCTCAACTGCATTCATTCATTCATTAAGGAAATGTTGAGCCTCTGAAAGTTTACTTTCATCACAGGAAGCCCAAATGCTCCTTAAAACATGGAAGTACACTTTAAAAAATGGTCTGCAATAATGTAAAGGACAGCAGATTTGTAGGTAACATGTGATACATGCCAAAGGTTTAGTGGGTTTCACTGGTTTAGAGACAGCACAGATTAATCACTACAGCATGGAAAGAAAATAAGGCCCATTTGCCAAATGGTCAGAGTCGTGCTCGAGGCTATGCAGGACAACAAAAGAGAGAGAGAAAAAAACACATTCATCCGTCAGAATAAAAGAGATTCTCATCCTAACATCTGGCAGGCTGCGGACCCCCCCGCTGAGACCACAGAGGGTGGAGTTAATTGCCTAATAAGGTGCTGAGGGTGAGAGCAAAGGGTGGTGGGGGACAGAGGGGGATTAGCTGTGTGCTGTGCAGTTCAATTAGGACAAACAATAGAGAACAGGCCAGCTGTGCTCCCCGCTCGGCCGGGGACAAACACTCCTCTTTTCTTCTCCCAAGGAAATCAGCAGCTCATTCACACACCTCTAAACCCGCCCCCAAAGTGATTGACAGACCGTATCACAGCGAGTATCCAGCCTCAGCACTGTTGATTAATGATCGATCGCCCACTGAGCGTTGGCACTGAATGCTTTGCAGTTTCTTTGCTGTGTTTACTTATTCTTACTTCCGGTATTTTTAAACCTGCGCCCTATTTGGACATATTTTTAACTTGATTTTTTAGACTAAGAGGTACAAACACTTTTGGAATTAGTCCAGTAGATTGCCTCAGCTGGCAGTCACGAAAAGGGCTGCAATGGCTGCAACATTGTGCTTGCGTGCAACTGTCCCTGTCAAAAGTATGTCCACTAAAAATGCTTGATTTTGCCACCGACAGCTTCAGGCTGTCACATACTTCTGGACAGGATCCATGCTCCGTAGTCCATGAGGACGCCCAGTCTTTGTACAGCTGTTAAGCAATACATAAGCTATTGGATTGTTCAATATGTCACTTGGGCAATACATCATATCTTATATCTTATTGTACAAGGGTTGTCCTAAATTTGCGGGGAATGCAGCCGACAGGGTTGTTCAATCAAAACTGCCAGTGGAAGAAGGAATTAATGTGCTACTATATAGGTACATGTCTAATGTATATCAGGGCTGTGTATGTGTTGAGAAATGTTTATTTCTGTATTTTGTCCAAAACAAATTTGCCTGCCTCTGTTAATTAAAAATATAATGTGTGGTGAAAAAAACACAGGGATGCCCATCTTCTATGATTTGGCTGTGGTGTTTAGCAAGTGTTACTCAGTCTGGAGGAAAGCGGCGGATGAATCCACATGTGGTGCTCTAGTGAGTACTGGGGCAGCAGGACGGTGTTTGTGTGAGTTAACATAAACTACAGTGTGTGTGTTCAGGGTGACGAAGGAACCAGTGCAACTTAAATGTGTTTACTTGCCTTAACTCTGTATCAAGCCTTGTCCTGTTTAAAGGACTTTGTGATGAAAAGTAATTTTTCTAACTCGGCCCTTGAGGTTTTACTATCAGGTCTGAATGTTGTTACCAAATATTTTTCTAAAACTAATTGAGGATCTCTTGATTTTCTTTCCAACACACTTGTCGCAGCCTCAACACGTCAAGATAAAGCAGGGACGCCTGACTCAAATAAAGACAAACCAATCGCCCCTCTTTCTTTCCCGCACACGCTGAAACGCACTGAACCACTTGTTTCTTGCTCAGGCTGGAGGCCTCGCAGCAGAGCGGCCCGCTGATCAGTTTCAGGGGTTTACAAACACACCCAGAGCCTTTGGAAGAGAATAAATGGACTCAACTCGGCGGCCGCTGCACTCTGCAAGGCTTGCTGACATTATAAAGATTTCACCCACACTTGGAAATGAGCGCTGACATTTTGCTGCAACACGAGTCAGCAGCGAGTGGGAGGTTTCTCATGAAAGCCTTGTTGTGGGGTTTGGGTGGATGTCAGGTTCGCCACTCCTTTTCCTGTATCTGTCACTCAAAACAGGCCTGCAAACATCAGAGGAACAAGAACTAATCCCCTCCATTAAGAGCTTAGAGCCCCGAAGTGACTGTCCTCCCCCCCCCCCCCCCCCCCTCGCAGAGTCTGGGTGGCCGAGAGAGAAAGAAGGAGGGAAGAGAAGAGAGGAGAAAGAAAGACAGAAAGTAAGAGCGAGGAGAGGGGAAGACAAGAGAGCAACAAAAAAAGAGTAAGAGAGAAACGAAAACAGAAAAGAAATCGAGCGGGAAAGGTAAAAGAGAAAGAAGAGGAGACAGATGGAGGTGCAGGAAAAGATGAAAATGAAGACGAGGAGGGAGAGCAGAGACAAAGATCAGCAAGGTGTTCCAACAGAAAAGCTAAATCTCATCCAGATGTTGTTACAAGCTTCAAACGCCTCTCCCTCTTCTTTCTTTTTCCTTTTCTCTTTCTTGCTTCTTTTTTTAAACACAAAAAGAGAAGAAGCAGAAAATAGCCAAAGGTTCAGATTTTACTGGACTCCTCTGGAAACCATGTGCAGTGACAAATTAATCGGGAGTTCATAAAGCGGGAAAAGAAAAGAGGGAAAGTGAGACTGAGCTTCTAAATCTGCAGGTGTTAGGGCGTTTGTCTGTATAGCTAATACACCTGCATGGATTCTGCTCTCTCCTGGTTCTGTATGTCAAAAGTATTGATGGACAATGTGTCTTGTTTACAGCCTGTTAATTGTCTGTCTGCTGGAGTTCCTTGACACAAAGTACACTTTTAGGTTTTTGCTGTATTCCCAGATCTCAGCTATTAACTTGGTGACTGCAAAACAGGAAAAGATGCAGGTCTAAATGTGTCCATCGTCAGAAGAAAAACTTATTCTCCATATTATTCTCCACTTTTCTCTGTATGTATGTAAATGCATCGTTAAATATTAATGTTACTGAAAAATAAATCATTTCAATTAATTTCAGTTCATTCGCGAGTTAATTTCAGGCTTCAGCGACACACGCTGCTCTGGCAGAGATGCTGTTAAAGAGGCGTGTAAAGATGAAGCGGAGGAAAGAGGACGTGGGACGCTCCGCTCATGCGTCTGATGGACATCGGCAGAGATGTTGGAATGCCAGCTGATGAGCACAGCCGGTGGAGGCCATAAAACTGTTAAACTTAAAAGGACATGCTCCAGTTTAGCTTTACGAATCTACCTCATGTACATGGATTTACCTCCACTAAGTCCCCTTGTAGGGCCAAAGCTATACATCAGTGTGTGTGTGTGGGCAGGTAGGTGTGTGTTTTTGTGTGTAATAATCACCATGGCGACCTCCACGGCGTCACTGTTGGAGTAGGACAGGTCACAGAGGATGAGCATCGCTCGCTCGTCGGCCAGCGTCTGAGTCACTGGGAGGTACCTCAGCTCGGAGCAGATGTTCTCTACAGTGGTGCCCTGTGACACACACACACACACACACACACACACACAGATTATCATCTGCACTGCTGGCGAGGAACAATCAACTTCTAATTCCTCCTACATCTGTTTCACATGCAGCCAATCAGAATGCCTTGCCCAGCGGGGGAGACTGTGGCTCAGATCTCAGATCAGTATCTAGCCGGGGGAACAGATTCATTTCCATTCATAAAACTTTACCCAGACCTGCCGCAGGGGGCCAGTTAAGGTTTCATGATACAGTAGTAAACAACAAGAATCCCATCTGGACCTACAAGAGGGCTAAGATTCAGGCTTCATTAAGGTCTGTCACTGTCACTGTTCACAACATCTTTTGCCCCCCTCCCAGCCAGCAGAGGCAGCTCAAACTAACATTAGCCCTGATGCTTTAAGACCACTGTCAGCTTTTTCAAAGAAGACCCCCAAATCTGTGACAAACTGAAACTTTACTGACTTTGTCTTCCCCCCATGATTTGTTCTTACTGTCGGGGAAAAGACAAGCCTCCAAATGTCTTCATGCAGAAGTTACATGTGAGGTTATATGTAATGAGAGGATCTGTCTCCTGCATGACACGTCTTTTCTACCCACCCTGGACTATTCAACTCTTAACACAGCAGCTATAACGAAATGTTAACAATTCAAGGTGGGAGGAAAAGGATTTCAAATGTATTGTTATGATAAGGCAGATCAACAAGGATGAAAAAAGGTTGAGTCTCTTCAGCCTTATTTCATTTTCTCACAGTGAGGCGTACTCACTCTAGTCACACTATCAGGGATGATGAAATGTCTGTAGTTTTATCTACATGCAGAAAGTGCTTCACCTGTGGCACTTTGTCTTTTTTGAAGATGAGCGTGATGCGAGCACAGCTGTTGTCGAGGTAACCGCTGTTGGGCTCACACTGGGTGTGCAGGGGTGTTGGGGGGTCCGGCGTTGAACACACACCCCACTGGTGGCACGGCGGCGAAAAGCAGGTGAGGAACTGATGCTCCACACACTCGTGACCTCCGGGGCAAGATGGAGGGTTCGTGTCCGGAGGAGGAGGCAGGGCCTTCGGGAGGAGGCACAGCCGGCGCCCACACCTCACCTGGAAGAGCACGGCTTCATTCACTTACTGGTTGTAACTCAGAAACTGGCTGTTCAAACTAAAAGAGTAAAAGGTGTTATTATATAACATCATTACTTTGGTAAAAATAAAGAGCCTGACCTTGGAGCAGCTAACGTATCCGTTGACGCACTGGCAGGTGTTACACTCCTCCTCCCACCGGCTGCCGTGAGGAAACTGCAAGCCAGTGTGATGACACGACTTCCCGAGTCCAATGACTGGAGAGAATAACAGAAAGTGGTTGAGTTATAAATCTTCCCATTTATGTAACCGTCACTGCAAGAAATCCACCAAACCTAGAACATTACTGAACTGACTGATCGGTTCCTTCAAGTAAAGTCGTATTTCCGTGTTCACATCAAGATCCCATTTAAAACTCACTCGTGACAGTTATTTAGCTTCATGTTTGCAGCTGTAATGTCTGTAACATCTTTTTCTCATATGAGGTGGCTGCAATTGATGTGAATATGCAAAAGAAATATTAAATTTTTAAAAGGAAACTACATCTGTGTGTGCTGTACTGATGAAGCTGCAGGATTCTAATAAGATAAAGCACTCACACGCACACTGTCCTCGAGCTGACATGAAAATACAACATCGCTATGTTCAATTGAAGGCAGCAGAATGTGATATCTTTAGTTTTCCTCCCATATCTTTGACCTGCCATCATAAATGGAGTAACTGCAACAGAAACAAGGCAAGCAAACCCACATCCCTAACACTGTCCTGACCGAGATTAACTGCACTCACACTCTTGACAGCGAGGTCCAGCGTGTCCTGGAGGACAAAGGCAGCGGTAGCCATTGATCTCGTCCATGCAGGTTGAGCCTTCGGCACAAGGAGACGACTGACATTCATCTATGTCTGTAAAAGAAAACCCCACAGATGTTTTACACATGCAGTCACCTCAAAGTCATAAGACCCAGATGAGACCCCAGGAGCTGGAAACACTGTCCAGGTAATTCAAGGTAACAACTATGATCTCTTATTGATTTTGATTATGAAATACTGATTAATCATATGGGGAACAGACGAGACTGATTCATGGACTAATAGAAAGAGACGTACAGCATTAGAAACATAACAGGAAGAATATTCCAGACCATTTAAATAAAACAGAGCTGCAGTACCTTTTCACTATCAGTGTTTTTTCATCTTAATTTGACACAAGTCTTTCTTGCATTGTTGATTTTTCCTTCAGGTCTTTCTCTTTCTGAACTCGAGCTTTGAGAGATTTCAATGTTGCATTCAAATATCTTCATGACTGACGGAATTTAGAGAATCGTTCTTTGCACAATGGGTTTATGGCAGTTTGGATTGAAACGCTTCGATTGGATAACACTCTGGTTGTGAAAAGGCTTTTCTGAAGAGGTTTTTATCCCAGAAGGCCGCGGGACAGCGCACTGACCCGTCTGACGAACCTCAGCTCTGACCTCGGCTCAGCGCAGAGCTGAGAGGTTAAGACCGTCTTCCTAAAAGGCTTCCTAATCTGTCGCCCTAGAACAATTGGCTTACGCTCCCCCGCCGCGGCCTTTCACCTCTGACCCCCCGCCCACCTGACCCCTCCACACGCCCCCCTCCGGTTCCCAGGGACTCACTGATGCGGCAGTCCGGTCCGGCGAATCCTGGGGCGCATTCGCAACGAAACCAGTTCACACCGTCGACGCAGATGCCGCCATTGTAGCTGCAGAAAGGAAGAAAGACATGAGGTACTGCTGCTGCAGCTGACAGGTGAGTTTGCAAACAAAGTAATGAATGCGTGAACGAACAGGACACATTTGTGAAATTCCTTGGTGAAGCTCTGAGTGTTTGTAGACCACAGGTATTTATATTTTGAGGCTTTACCTCCAATTAAACATTCAGAAGGTCATCACTCTGGACCAGTATAAGCCATTTAGTGCATTCTTTAACCCAACATCCTGCAGCAATTCAGTGGAAATTAAACCTTTAACTGTGTCTGCCCGCTGAGCTGCATGATGTAAACTCAGCTGTAATGGTTTAAGTATCCTCATGTTGTAATAATTCCTTAAAAGGAGTTCATATGGAACCAGTAATTCCCCCAGGAAGTTTGATGCAGAGACCAATGTCACTAATTCACCAACATAACTTCCCTTTTCTGTGTGACTGGAGTCTAATTTTACAACGTTTTCAGAGAAACTCAAATATATTAGGAGATAAAACCTATCATCTGCTATCTGTAGTCTATTTCACCACAGTAATTACAACATGGCATGATACATTCACGAAAACTTCTTAAGAAATGACCAGTTAAGATGAATATTTATATTTATATATAATATTTGGGGGAAATTCTCAGACCAGCAGGTCCTTATTCTTTAATATCTTGGACTGTACATGGAAGAAAAGTAAATTACTTCAAGGTCTTTAAGTTGTTGTTTTCTGTCCTAGATGATCTACACTTGGCTATGAGGCCGTATTAACCCACTGAGCTCAGCAGATCTGGTCTTGTTTTCTCTCTGAGCTGCAGACAAACTATCAGACTTTCCTTCCCGCAGAGTTTGTAGAGACTCTGAGCGGCAGCAGGCTGAAGCTGATCCCTGATCAATGTCCAGAGTTCATATGTAAATCCCTGCTGACCACATACTGAGCCCCCTAACACCCACCCCCAACACCTCCACTTCTCACAGCTACCCCCAGGTCGAGGCCGGTGAATGGTGAGAGGGGCGTCCCTTCACACTCTCCTGCCCCCTCCTCCCAAAACCAAAACCACCACTAATCCACCTGTCAGTCATTGTAAAGGAGGGTGAGGAGGAGAGAAGGGGGGAGGCTTTTGTCCAGGGTAGCTTCTGTGCAGACAAGCTGTCAGGAGTCCCTGGTTTTTCTCCACTTGTGTGTTTTTTGTACAAAAAAAAAGATCCTCATCACAATTTACTAAAACTCAAATTGATATCTTTCTTCTTTTGTCTTAACAAAAACCAGAGGTTGAATAACAATTATATAAATCAGAGAACAGCAGCAACTGCCAAAATCTGAGACACACATTTACAAAATTTACACACCAACAAACATCCAAGAGTACAAAAATACACATGCCATCCTACACAAACAAACTCAAGTACATACACCTGCACTCACACCTCCACAGCCACAGTCATTGCACAAAATCAGGTTTACAGGATAAGAACAAAGTGTGAGAGTCACTGGGAAACCCTGTAACTGATCCAATGCTCTGTTTTATATTAACAAGTCGAAGCAATGCACCTCAGGTTGTTGGAGTCCAGAGTGACTTAGAAAAGACGTAAATATCAACTGCGCTGGTGCCACACCCAGCAGTTATAAATAGTCACTAGTATTTGTGGCAAAAACATTGCATTCCTGCAAAAAAAGTTTGAGTGCAATAGCAAGAAGAAATCTGTCTTACCAGGGATGTGGATTGCAGTCGTCCACATCTGCAAGAGAGATAAGACCGAATGACAATCAGTAACGTTTAATTTTCAATTCCTGCAAAAACCTGAAACCTGGTCCGATAATTTCCCCAATAAGCAGCTTAATTATTAAGGAATAAGTTAAGTTATTCCTGCTACATTTAGGATTTAGGACAAGTCGTATTACAACAGGGAAACAAAGACATTTCAGAAAGTCCTGATATGTTTAACTTGGCACAAAACAACAGGGAGCTGAAGTCTCCTAAAGTCCTTCATTCAAGGCAATTAAACCCAACTTCAATAGATATAGTGCTAAATAGTACTTCTAATGTTCACACGACCAGCTCTACAATCATACAACTGTCTTGACTTGTCCAATGACGTGAACGCTCTCAAGCTGTAAATTTTAGAATCTTTCCCATGTTCGCCATCCATCCCTTGCAACATCAACCTGGCATAAGCTACAACAGTGACATACTCTGTGCACAGGTGGGTCCCTCCCAGCCGTCCTTGCAGATGCAGGTGAAGGCGTCTCCCCCGCCAACACACGTCCCTCCGTTCTCACACGGACCTGAGTCACATGTGCTGTTCTTGGCTACAAAATAAAACAAAAAAGGAGGATTCTCTTTTATGAAATGCTATTATTCTGACCAACCCACAATGTGATCACAGTCAGACAGGTCGTAACGGAGTATCACACTGTGTTATTACACTATCATTATCAGAGCCATAACAGTGTAATGAGAGTGAGCCTGACCTGTGTTGCAGGTGCTGCCGCCCCAGCCTGAGGAGCAGCTACACAGGAAGGAGTCTCCGTGGTCGTAGCACGTCCCTCCATTACTGCAGGTGCTGGAGTCGCACTGGCTCTCACCTGAAAATGAGGCAGCATGGGAAAAAGATTTAAAACATTGTGCCAGTGTTGAGTTGAGATGACTTCAGGTCCAAAGCTCCAAAGTTCAGAGATGCCGTCAAAAGGGGAAAACAAGCCTGCACAGCAGCCAGTGAGTGCATCTTGCCTCAGAAAGATCGAGAGGCTGAGGTAGTTAACAAATATAGGACCTGACATGTTGCAGAATATGAAAACTGAAGACAAAGACACCACTCATAAGAGCGTCATGGGATCTCCATTAATTTTTGTTCACTCACATATTTACTGCACTCTAACAATTAAAATGTTCTTTTTCTAACAATGGCAAACTGATTAATCTTATAACAACGCGTGGATCTTAAATGCCCATTCAAACGTTTTTTTGAATTATACAATTTGCGAAAACAAACATCCAAACAAACATATTAACTTACTTGAATGGCAGGTCTTTCCTTTCCAGCTATCCACACAGTTGCAGTAGAAATCGTTAAGCAGATCGACACATTGGCCTCCATTCTGACAGGGGTTCTTGTTGCACTCATTCACATCTGGAGGAAAGTCAAACAGTGAGTCAGTGCAGTTATTTTAGTTGTTGATTTTTATCTTTTGATAACATAGAGCTACATCCTTCAAATGTTTGAAAGCTCACACTATTGTGAACTATAAGATTGCTTCCTTGCATGTGGTTGTTAATATGCAGATTTCTAAGATTGCTACATTGATATTTGTTTGGTATATATTTTTTTATATTTAACCAAATCTGTAAAAAAAATAACATATTTTACATGGATTACTATTTGTGTACAGTCAGTTTCGAGCTTTACACTCAAAAGTGGTTGATGTTTATTCAACCAATTAAATTATGTCTGCTTTTGTTCTCTCTGTAATATTAATATAAGTAATAGTGTCATCTGCAAATGTGTACACAGACCAACGTAAGTAAAAGTTATAAAACAGAGTTTAAAGTTAAGTTACCACATTTTTCTCCTTGCTTTTATCTCCAAAACAAATCCTCCATTGTTTTGTCTTCCTCAAGATTATCAGACAGCTGATCATTGCTCTGCTGCTGCAGGCCAGTGATGGATTCTCCCAAGATATGTGACTCACAGGCAGGATGACTTAGCAAGGCTCTTCCCAAAAACTTGCATATCTGTACTGTTACTCGCACTGACCCCAGTCCTCTCAGACACACATACTCACCAAAATCACATAAACTGCCCTCCCAGCCGTCTGGGCAGAAACACTGGAAGGAGTTGATCCCATCGATGCATGTGCCTCCGTTCTTACAGGGCGATGACGCACAGTCATTAATGTCTGCAGGCGGAGAGAGGAGAGAAATGTACAGATGTCAAGTTAATAATTTAATTTTTTGGACCTTTTTTGTGTTGTTTTGTTCTTGGATACGTGCATTGTTGTTACTTTCATACATCTAACTCTGCTCGCCTGCTGCTGGAGCATCAGCTTTGTATCTAAGATACATATTATTACAACCACTATGTTTTGATATTTCAGAGGTAAACACACCCTTAACTTAAAGAAATCAGCTTGGATGCAGTTTCTTGCTCATTTTTTATTGTTTGTGTTGTTTTTCCTTCTGCAGTAAGCATTCAGTGATGTCCTTACTGCATTCCCGAAAGAATCATTTGGTTCCCAGTGACAGTAACTGATGATAAATATAGTCTGTGTGTTGAGCTAATAATGACTCACTCTCGTGGCAGTAGGTGCCAGTGAATCCCGGCTCACAGGAGCAGCTGAAGTTCCCGGCAGGCAGGCTGATGCAGCGGCCGTGGGGGCCGCACACATTGGATGAGATGTGCCACACCCGCTTTTGGGTGTCATTGGTTGCCACGGCAACGGTGCAACTGTCAATCACTTAAAGTGAATAAGTGAAACACAAAAAAAACGATCAGCCAGGCAGAAAGTTGGAATGGAAAGGCTGGTTAATTAAAATATATCTTGAAATCAGAGATACAAGGATTCTCCAGGTGCTGCGTTACCTTGACACAGGTTGGTCTTGCAGTGGTCCTTGAGCTCTGAACAGGTCTTGCCCTCGTAATCGTCTGGGCAGCTGCAGTAGAAATCTCCCATCAGGCTGTGGCACTGGGCCTTATTGTGACATGGGTTTGGGCTGCATGGATCATTCTGCACCTGCAGAAATATAGTACAGGTGTGTTCTCAGCAACAAAGCAACATAGATGAAGTCTTTTTACAGTGTATTTTATTAGCTGGATCTAGTCCTCACCTCACAGGTTGTACCAGCGAAGCCCTGCGGGCATTCACACATGAACCCGTCCAGCAGGGCGTGGCAACGGCCACCGTTCCTACATGGACTGCTGGCACAACGATTTCTCTGAACCTCACAGTGCCGTCCCACAAATCCTGCCTGGCAAACACACTGGTAGCCTCTGGCCACCTCCTGGAACAGAAGCAAGAAGTTACAAAAACTCTGCTGTCACATTTCACTTAGATACAGATGATCAAAGTGGAAGAGCTTCCAATTTCTGACTACATGAGCAGTGTCCTCTATAATTAAAGAAAACCTTGGTTTTGTTAAAGCACCCAACAGGAGCATATGATTCCCCGTAGAACATCCTCCCAACTAATGACGTGATAAAAGGCCCTTTAATGTACTATGTTGAGGTACAGAGCATCAACACTAATGGTGTAACAGATCAACTGTGTATTCATTTCGAATTTTAACCATTATAGTGTGAAAAACTGTTTTACAGCCGCTGTAACTTTTTCAAGTAATAATTCCGGATATCGATAGAAGACGTTCAGTGATGGGTTGGGGGAGAGCCGTCCCTTTTGAGTGAAACCCCGTAGGCTGTGACTTGGGGCATGTTCATTGCTTGTCATCATAAAAACAGATCATCGTCGATTGTGATGTTTATCGTAGCTTTACTAACATCTGCTGCCTTCCTTTCAACACAGCTCCAGTCTCTTTGTGGCACAGCAGCCTTCTGTGTTGACAGGCTATTACTCGTGACGTCTAACCAATCAGATTGTCCAATCAGGACTTTGAGCGAGGCTACAGAGTGGTGACTACTGACGGCGAGTGGCGGACACATCAGAGTCAAAATAATTTAACCATAATGTTAATGGTTTTTTTTCTTGCTGATCCGAAAAATGATCTGATCAGTGACCACAGTATAAGATTCGTGATCTGTTCACACAACATTTAGTTGTAGATGAAGTTCAACGCATAGGCCTAGATGTTTCAATGTCAACCCCAACAAACGGCAATGTTTCATGATAACATGATAATAAGGCTCAATAAAAAATTCATTTAAAAACAAAACTTAAAGAGTTATGGATGTAAGTATTTAAGATTCAGACTGTCGTGTCTGTATTTGTGTCAAAACATTTACTTGAACTTGGTGAAAATCCTTCTGACTGTTCCTAATAATGCTTGTTTTATCTGTGTGTGACAAGGTCGTTCTGTGGATTTACTACTTCTCCTGTATTTTATTTTGTACTTATTCACAAAATGAAAAAAAACACCTTTCAGGCTGTACAAGTTGGTAACAAATGTTTCACATCCATCACACCCATGAGCATATTATTTTATGTTCTGACAGGTACTTAATCGTGTTCCAATTCCATTACCGTGTCATGTTACATTAAAAAAAATATAAATTTAACAAAGCCCTCAGTGTTTTTGGAAGCTATATAAACTGTCTCCACATTGATATTTCTGAATCTCACCTTGCAGGTCCCCCCATTCTGACACTGACCATGGCAGCTGTTCATGTCTGAGGGGAAAACAAAAACAGAGAAAACGTCAAGTTTCAGTTTGACAAACTGGGAAGTGGAACATGCAGCTGCTACAGAGAAGTGGTTGACAAAAGTAAAGCAAAGGGATCCATGCCTAGGTGAAATGTGAGATGCAGATTCAGAGGTGCAGTAAGAACATGCGATGAAACCAAATGGTAGAAGTCAAAACTAGATTCAGATTTACAACAGCTGGGGAAAAGTCAGTTTTAGTCTTATAAGAGTTAGGCCAGGTTTAAACAACCATCTGTGAGGCAAGAGGAAGGAGAATGAATGGAGAGCTGAAGTTCAGACTCTTATTTAGACTCTGCTCCACTAGCATCTTTAAGCAGGGATAGGCAATTTATTTTAGAAGCAATTTTTGTTATATTTGAAATACTCTATACATATTTAATATTACAAAGAGTACGGTCTAGACCTGCTGGCACTATAAAATAAAACTGAATTGAATTAAAAGTACAGACAGCAATCAATAAATTAAATGTTCTGACACAAAAATCTGGTACCTGTGTGGCTGTCGCGGGACTGTAATAAGCACGGCTGGTCTACTTGCCTGCCTGCCTCAGCACACACTGCACATTAACATGACATTTAGGGGAGTGGCTTTGGAAGGAGGCCTGAAGGGAGGGGAGGTTGGGATTGTTTTTCAGTTGGATGCTTTTAAATTCTCGCCAACTCTTGCTGGTTCTCCAACATTGCCTACCCCAGCTTTAATAGAAGTTTCTGATACAGGGTTTCTTTCAGAAAAGCCAAAAATGTTGCTGTTGTTTACCTCCCATATTTTAGTTTAAACAAAATAAGGGCGCAGATTTTTTTTTGTAGCATTCAACAATACAAATACCTCTAAAAGTCTCAACCATTAGCATGCTGTCAAAGCCTTATGGGGCTGTCCAGATATTGTTTATTTCATTAGCACTGAACAACGACTTATCCCATGGGAGCTGTAGACAGTAAACTTTAACAACTTTTGCCATTTAAAGCAAGAAAGTTTAGCCTTCATTCTAAGATTTAGCTTTACTAGATAGTAAAATGTTAATAACTTTTAGCATAAAGAAGGACAAATTATTTTGCTAGCATTCAACTACAACATGTGCCTCGAGTAGCCATTAGCACACTCATGGGAGCTGTAGTGACACATGTTTTCTGTCCAAGATAAATACAACTGTACAAGACAGCATGTTTCAGAAAGACTGCTAACTGAATGAGAGGGTTGCAGACAGAGTTACAGAAGCTAGCCAGCAAAGAGGACTTCGGCTCTAACAGCGCTACAGGTAGGCGGGAAGAGGCTGAAGACTAATGATTTTCTGGATTGATACTAACTGATGTCACAGTTCTGGCCAACCCATCCACGAAAGCAGGCACAGTGATATCCACCAATCAAGTTTTTGCAAGAGTAAGCATTCAGGCAAGGCTTCCCTGCGCACTCATTAACGTCTGCAAAATGAAGACGAGAGACACAGAGAGAGAATGAATGACAGAGCTCAGAACCTGCCCAGAAGCCCCGTCACCAAGCACAGTAGCTTCATATCGTACCACACAGGAAAATTACAGCCAGATATTAAAGGTCTTCTCTGGATTAAAGCCCCTTTCAGACGCTGAACCTGTAATGTTTCTGGCTTTATCCACTTGTTTTTGGGCTTTCAAACGTAGGTCTCTGTTACAGAAATGTTCCAAGGCTTGCAGATTTATTAGAATTTTGTCTGAAAACATAACGTTTTAAAGGGCGCATCAGTAAAGGAATTTAAAACTTATTTTACATCTCAGTGTCTTCTGGAAGGGTACTCGCCTCTGTTTCTCACTAGATCCCAAAATTCAGTTTCAGAAGTAGAAGGTAGATTTCAGCTGAACATTTTACACAGTTAAAGAGCACCCAAGAACAGATACAACTTATAAGATATTAAGATCTGACTTTTCCTATAAACACTCTCTTATTTTTTTCAACTTCCTGACAAGGACAAACAATCCTCGATCCCTAAAAATGGCTGATCCGACGTCAGTGTAACAGCTCTAAACTGGCTCATTCACAGTATTTCATGAGTTAAATTGATTTCAATTCCTTGCACATGAGAAATGTATTATAGAGTTGACCATTTGGAGTGCCTAATGTGCATATTTAACTCTGTGTGTGGAGAAGCCTTTCTGTTACCATGTAGTCAGATTGCTTTCAGACTTTCATGGGTAAACGACCTGGGGTCTTTTTCAAACATGTAACATTGCCAGAACATTTACAGGGTGAAGTTCCTTCATGACAGGGTTTCATTTCTTCCACAGCTTTCCATCAACCCACTGCTTTATCCTCTCCCCACTCCCTCTGGGTTAATGTCTCTCTATTGCATTCTCCAAAGGCCAACCTGCGGCATTCCAAGTGGTCAGTTTCAGAGGCGGCTATCGCGTCCCCCGCCACACCGCCTCGCTCACTATAAACCGACACGGTGCATTAATACTACTCCCAGGAGGTAAGCGGCACCTGTTGGCCTGCTGAAACTAAACACCCCCAACTCCTTCCCAAAAACCCAACCTCTCCCTGTACCACTACCCCTCCTCCTTGCCCCGCCCTCTCCCAGGTACCACCCCGCTCCCTGAAAGGGGAAGCGCTCTGAGAATAACAGAATCTGTAACGCAAACCGAAGCGTTTCGGTTGCTCTCCGTGCGTGTTTACAGGTTATAAAATGTTTCCTGGCTGAAGGCGAAGGGGGTCAGGGCTCCGAAATGCCAGGGCGCCGCCTTACTGTAGTATACATACACCCCTGTCTGGAGCCAAAGATAACCCCCCGGTGGAGTATATTTGGTCCCAAGGCTAGCAGTTGCCAGGCGGGAGGTTATTTTTAGCTTTACTCAAGTCACCTGGCTCGAGTTGCAGATGATACCAAGCGAGTGTCTCCGTTGGGCGTGCGTATACACAAACACACACACACTCAGTTGAAATTAGTGGCCCTCCTGCAGTAATACTACTGGTTAAACGACACGGCAAGATAAACAAACAGCCACATATACTGTGACTCTGCAAGCAAACGGGATTCCTGGAATGAATTAGGATGCAAGGCATTCACTGTGCAACACACACAGAAACGTACCGACTTCATCACAGCAGAGTATCAACCAACATGCAACATTGTTTTGAATCAGGATTTTAGAGATTACATCAATTTGAACTGGATCTATAAATGAACAAGTCTGCCAACAAAATGCTCTAAATCAAATTCACTGAAAAGCAACGTCTCGTGATCTTTAGCAACAATCAGATATACACATACAAACCTTTTCAAAATGTAAAAAAGGATCATAGCTATATATTAATGAATTATTTAGTGAGACGTACCTATCTGGCAGGTCTTGCCGGTCCACTGTGGAGGGCACAGGCATTCAAAGCTGTTCTCCATGTCGATGCAGGTTCCGCCCTGAGCACAGGGGCTGGAGGCACATTCATCTGTGTCTGAAAGTTAAACCAGACGGATGTTGAAGCAATTATCACATGAAAGTGGCTGCTAAATTAGCCTGTTTAGTTGTGTTTCCAACCTATAATAGTAAACTCTAAACTAACAGAGGAGAAAATCCCTAAATTCCCAGAATTAAACCTCTGAGGGCACAACGTTGGTGTCCTCAACGGTAGGGTTAGGTTTGGTGTCATTCGTCTCACAGTATGTCATGTTGCCCTGACAAAGACCTGGTTTAACTCACAAGCACAAAGCTAGACGTAGAAGCAGAGTACCAAGAGTTGACACGTTTGGAGAGAAGAAACAAACACTTTCAATTGAATGTTAAGACACAGACAACATGGCAGACAGATCTCATTGCCTCATCTCATCTGTGGAAGAGTTAATTGTCACCTTTAGCACAGGTTGGCCCGGACCAGCCTGCTGGACAGTGACACTCAAAGCCTGATGGGACTTCATGGCACGTCCCTCCGTTGGCACAGGGGTTGGACACACAGGCATGCTCGGCTAGCGAGAAATATTAGGAATAATTATGAAGATTTATTCCATTCCTCAGAACTTTGCCTTGAACGTGACGTGGCACAGAAACCTGGTTTATGAGGCATTTGATTTAGAGACTCACCGATCTCGCAGTTTTTGCCCGAGTAGCCGTCTGGACAGGCGCAGTTATATTCGTCTGGCTCCGTGTTCATACACGTCCCCCCATTCTTACAGGGCCGGTTGGTCCCGCAGTAGTTCAGATCTGCAGAGCAAAGAGCACCGATGTGACCGACTCTGTGTGCATCCACTTAACTAAATGAAAACATCAGTTAAATGCTTTTACTTCTCATCATTCTGCAGCTCTGTGCTCTTTGACTTCTAAAACACACCAGCCGTACACAATAAGCTGTTGTTACAGGCCCCATTTCATTGTTGTTTTCTTTCAAAAGCATTTCATTGTGGGTTACAAGAAGCACAATGTAAGAACATATTTACAGAAAATGTAATTTCTACTTTTGTTCCCTGAATCTTGACCAATCACACTGTGTCGTCACGCTACTTATTTTAGCCCATATTCTGGAAGTCAACAATACTTCAAAATAACTCTCGACTGTTTTGCAAATCAGATTGTTGAATGTACTTTCCTTCTAGGCGACCATTGGTTTCCATTCATTTCCACACAGCATGAAAATTGCTGAGTTGTGAAATTGATCTCAGTGAGGATCAAGCCTGCATTCATTTTTGTCCTAGTTATTGTTTTGGTGTAACATCTTGTACATTTTTCACATTAATACAACTCAGGCTACTTTCTGCTCAGTGGATGAAAAGTAGAAAATCAAAAGAAATCATCTTTATACTAAAATTACCATCAGTAAATGTGTGAATGACACGAATCAGCCTTTTAGTCAAGTTGCCTTAGAACTTCTAGATATTCAAAATATGGATATCTTACATCTTGTTTAGCTTTTTCATGTTTATATTGTGCATAATAATAATACTAGATACAAACACTGTGATGGGCACTGACCTTTGTCACACAGCAGGCCTCCCCAGTTCTTCTCACAGGTGCACTGCCAGGGCTCGTTGCAGGTACCGTGAACACAGCCGGGATACGGCAGGCACTCATCACAGAGCGGACCCTGCCAGCCGTAGTTACACCTGCAGCACACAGATTTAACAGTAAAACATGCTGTACACCTGGGAGGAATACTGTATTTCTTTATTACTTTATGTCCTTCCCACTCTTTGTCCCTTTTTCCTACCTTCCCTTCTTATTTTCCTTTATTCCTATATTATTTTATTTTTCTTTCGCCCACTTTCTTCATTTCATTTGTCCATTTTATCTTTGATTTCTTCTTCTTGAATTGAAACTTGATTTCATCTAACCAAGAACCTTATTCTACATGCAACTTAAACACGTTTTGTTTTGTTGTAATGGAGGAATCAGTTTCTACTGTTTTACCGTTACACTTGAAAGCTTGTGCCGCCACTGATTCCAGAAAACCAGCGCACAGACAGCAGAGTTCAGTGGGTGCAACGGTGGCAGAGCAGATTGTTCTGTAAAATAAGTGCCTCTTCTTTCAGAAGCACACTGAGGATGTGTTCTTATTGACAGCTCGGGCACACAGACGCACTTAATGACACAAGGGGGAGTTGAAAAACAGCGATAGTTACGTAGCGATAACAAATAAGTAATTTAATAATTTTACTGTGTGAAAACAACGTGCCAGTTAAATGTCCCCTGGTAAACGTGAAGAATGCTGTAGGTGCCAAAAAAATGGAAATGCTTTGGAGAGCGCTGATTTAGTTGCAGCTGAATATCTGTAATTGTGCCAGACGTGACGTCTTCAGCAAGGTGAATGACACGTTTGCTGCAGCTCCTGATCTCAGGACACACAGCGCCAGGGGATATTCCTGAGCAGCGACTGTGTTTATGTCCCATCATGCTGCTTACAACACATGCAGGTATTCATATCCATTTATCTTCGATCGCGTTGTTGCTTTCACTTTCCTATCAAGTCAATTCTGTCCTTAATTAAGTCCTAATAACTTTTTAAGTTTTCTTTTCAGTAAAAAGTGATCAAATCTACCAATCAAGTAAGAATATTTTTAAAATTTTTTAGAAATCAGTGTACTTTTAGAAAATACTTCAAACACACTGATTTGCAACGGAGCAGGCTGCAGTGGCGTATTTTTCACGTATGGCTGCAGCTAATGCTGATTAATCATTATTATTGATTAATCTCTATTATTTTTATTCTTCTTTTCTGATAAAAAATACGTGAAATAGGTCCCTCACTAGTTCTAAGACCTCAGGTCGACATCTTTATACTGCTTGTTTTGTCCAATGAGAACTGGAACCACTGAAAGTTTGGCATTTTTTCTTAATAAACTTAAACAATTACCTGATTATCAACAATACTGTAATTTACTTATTATTTCAAGGTTATTTATAAAATAAGACGGTAAGCACTCGATTAAAGGCCAAAATGACGTGCTGTGAACGTGTTTTTTGCAATGACATTTCTTCAGGTGTCATGTGTTGCATGTCTTCTCTCAGCCCTCTTCCTGTGTCGTGAGCCTGGTCGAGGTCAAACTTGGAATGAGCGGCAGGTTTGTGGAACGAGGTTTAGTCGTCTCAAAGGGGAGGCCAGTGAAGGGTTAGCTAATCTGTTGGTTTATGGCGGCACTCTGTTATTCCAAGGCCAGTGGTAACCTTGCCCCACCTGTCCTGTCATTTCTCTGTCGGGGCTATTTTAGGAATCAACCAACACCCCCCATCCCCCAACCACCACCCTCCCTCCGGCTCACAAACATTTCAATATGGATGCCGACCAAACACTTCTCTGACCAGCAGTGATATACTGCTGTGTAGTGAGCTGTACTATGCTGTAGTATGCTGGGTGGCAGAGGACAGCGGCAGACTGTGTCTGATCAAGAGGGTTTCATAGAAAATTTGGTTTATATTTAAGTTTTTTGGAGGAACGTACATTGTATTTGCACAACCAAAAACAAGACTCAAGAGTTTACAGCTGTGCTAAAGGCTCTATGAGGCTGTGAGCTAAATGCTCATTATATACCTACCAGGCTCACCATTTTAGTTTAGCCTGTTAGCATGCTAACATTTGCTAATTTGCAATAAAGACAAAGGGCAGCTAATTTGAATGTCATTAGTTCTGCAACCAAAGTGAAAACTGAAATTCTGACCAGTCATAACCAACATTATTAAACAGGTATCCTCCACAGTCAATGCACGACAATGCGTTAAAGAGGTGCAAAACCAACAGCAGCTGAAACAAAATTTTTATTAAAAACATTTTAAAGGGTCCATTCGTCGAGATTACAAATCTCATATTTTCCATCATCTCTACCGTTGCTATCCATGGGGATAGGTTGGTTGTGTAACACAAGATTTTCAGATATCTTTCTCTGAGATTTCTGCCTCCTGGAATTCAGGTGATCAGATCCTGATCATCAAAGATTCACATAATAAAAATGCAGCCAGGACCAGGTTCTGGTTCTGTTAAAACATGCACAAGTTTTGTTTCATGCACAAGTTGTAAGCTGGAACACCTCTAACTTTAATCTGATCTTGCTCGCTGAGTGAAGCGCAGTTATGTGCGTGTGTGTGTGTGTGTGTGTGTGTGTGTGTGTGGGACAGCGCTGTGTATTGTTTACTATAGTATGTGGCGTTGTCCAGCAGTGCGGTCGGCGGTGGTGCCCTGCACACTGTCAGCCATGCATCAGCGGTGGCAGCGTGGACAGTCTGTCTGGCTGCAGTGTGGGAGAGCAGGGAAATGGTTTCGTGCAGCCACAGGCCAAGGGTGGCATTACCCACAAGCCCCGTAGTCTGGCTGCTGCCGTCCCATCAATGGAAGGGGCCACAGGGGCCAGCCGGAGCCAAAAATATCCCGCCTGCCCACAACCCCCGCCCCGCTGCTGCCCCTCAGACAAACCACACCCAGAGGACGGGGCGGTGGGCAGGGTAGAGGTAGAGGGGGCTGTGTGTGTGTGTGTGTGTTTGTGTGGGACCGCTGAATTATTTACAGGCAAGCCTCGCGCCCAAATCCAGCTGACGGACTTAGTCCACTGTTGCCTAGCTACATGTTTAGTAGTGTCACATGAGGGAGCGTAGGTTGTGAATGCGCTGTGTGTAAGAAACAAGATATCAAACACACATTTTTAGTTTTCCTCTGCCAGGCTGAGATGTTTCTCTCTCTTTTTCCTCTCTGCCTTTAACCCTACAGACTCTTCTTCTTTACATTTTCCCAGTTTATTTCTCTCCTTCACTTTTTCCGATATCAGATTCACCTTAATTTGTTTAGTATCTATCTGTTTGATCGTATTGTATCAGCTCAGATACTATTTAATATTTATTTTGGATAGAAACAATCTGGTTGTTTGACCAATAATCTTAACTTATACCTGCAGTGTGGAACTTATGTCTCCCCCTTCTCACTGTAATAACGCAACACTATGGACACGTGTTTATGACGTTTAGGCTCTGCCATACTGAGCTGCCGCTGTTGCTGCAGTCGCTCTGGCAAACCAGTCAGTGAGAATGTCGCCACAGACACCTGATTTAAAAACTCGAGTGAGAGATTTACCTGCCGGCGAGAGGCTTAATCAGCAATGTGTTTTATCAAGTTTGGCGAGGGCTCCCACACTCTAGATTTAAGGTCCACTTGCTAGGTTATTCTGGAGCTTTCTGTATCGTTATAAATCCCAGCAGGTCAAAGTTGGAAAGAGTATTTTAATACACGTTCAATATGTCCTCTCATCCTTGTTGTCATTTTATTGCGTGATGTGTTGTTGTTAGCTTGTTTTTTTAAATCTAGGTGCTAACTAGCTTTACAGTGATGAAATATGCAACTCTGGAGAAATCCAACAAGTTGTGGGTTAGCAAGCGGCTGCTATAAGACGAGCTGATCTCAGAGCAGCACAGCAGCTACAGACAGTTATAGACACAACTCTCCCGCAACTATTGCTATCACACAGAACCGACCGATTGTGAGGAGACACTGACTGAATTTGACAAAAGGTTTACCGTTTCCTGGATAAGAATCGCTGACTCCACCTTTAATGTGTCAGGTTAGATTAATGAGACAGTCTACTTTAAATCAACAAAATAAAAGCTTTTATCCTGTCTTATTTGATGGATGTAATCCATCATCTTCCTCTTTCCCAGCAGTGCGCGTACATACCAGTGTGTGTGTGTGCGTGTGGGTGGGTGGGTGATTGGGATGAACCTCCGAATCACATGTTGAGGCACATTTCAGGGTGTTCCTCTCGTTTCCAATCCTCCGGCCATTTCCAATGAGAAATGTCAGCTTTTTTATTAGATCTTAACTAAATCAAACCTGCCTCAGTGTAAACCCTCACCTCCCTCCCATCTGCTACCTCTCCTCTCCTGCCGTTCGGCTACTGTGTGTTTGTGTGTGTGTGTGTGTGTGTGTGCACAGTTTGGCTGTGTCTAAATGTACAGTTCAGTCACATACAACAAACGCCTGGTCAGCCTTTTTTTTTAAAAAGCTCATAGTCTACAGTGCAGCCATGTTACAGCACTGTGTGTAGCTGTCCTCCTTGTGTGTTAGGGGTCAGTCTAACTCTATTCATAAGACACAGGAGGCAGGAAATAGTGTCCAGATAAAGCACTTCCTATAAGAATTCCCTCCCTTTATGATTCTAACAAAGTTAAAAAATTAACTTGTTAGCATTCAAAAAGCCCCCGTGAATTTTTGCTAGCGTGACTGGTCTCTCCAGCAGTTCTTCTAACGTCATCTCGACTAATAAAGGTTATAATCACTTATTTCCCTGTGAGCTCTTTGTGACCCCAGAGAAGTGCCACATGACTTGCTGTCGGTAACCGGACTTGATTTCGCCACGTGGGATACCAGAGACAGAATACATTTTTTATATTTTGATTTTAAGAGCGCGCACACTTGACAGTTCAGACTCAACTAAACGGGTGTCAGAGTGGCGGTTTCCGGGGACTTGGGATCTCAGAGAAAGTCACGTGATCAAACGTGACTTCAGACAGAAACAAACATGGAGGCAGAAGAGGAATGCGAAGCAGATACACAAAACGCTGGTGACGTTCACCAGTCAGCTCGCTCTTATTGGCATGATTTTGAATATCAAAGATGTTTGATATTTACAATTCGTCCTCAGGATTACGTCTGTAAACTACCTCACACTACAGGATTATCTGACCAGCCTCGGCTCGGGAACGCCCCCGTGGGAGGGCAAATCAGGCCCAAAATCATTATCCTCTAGTGTTCGGGCGGCATTAGTCAATTTTTATTTTATTTTTTTACAGGCGTCATAATGTAGAGCACTTTGCATCAAACTAACTAGCTATGTAACTGAACTTGCTTGCCTTATTGCGTTGAATATTATTCATTTACAGTTTTAGCTGCCTGCCTGTTGTCTGCAGATCTCTGGGTGGAATCTACATTTCCTCACAGGCGAGTGCCAGCCATAACAAAGCCCAGGATAGGAAGAGGTGATGGGGGCAGCAGACATTAGAGGAGGGGTGTAGGGGAGGGAGACGGGGACACAGTGCCTCTCTGCTGCTGGAGGAGGACGAGGGAGGAAACGTATAGCAAAAAAACAGGCCTCTCTTCTGTGTGTGTGTGTGTGTGTGTGTGTGTGTGTGTGTGTGTGTGTGTGTGTGTGTGTGTGTGCAGGAGCAGGCCAGCTTTAGAACAGGAAGCAGAACAATGGTTTCTGGATCACACTGGAGAGGAGGGATGGGGGGCACTTCACAGGACTAGGATGGGGGGAGGTAGGGGGTTAGGCTGCTTGGTATGTTATCAACAACCCCCCTCCCCTCACTGCCTCATCACTCGTTTTGTCGCCGCCGTTGTCCTCATTAAACTCTTACTGGGGTTTTCCATCCAAACAAGAGCATATTTTACATCACTTGACGGCTGCACTGTCAAGGTGGACAAAGTGGACAAACAAAAAAAATAAGAGGGGGGCACTTACTTGCATTCCCCCGGCACGCTGCACTTCCCATGCTGCAGGCTGCATCCTTGTTTGCAGATGGCTTTTGGGAAAGGAAAGGTAAAGTGGCAAGTTTAGAGACATTTCCTAAAATCTGTGACAGAATCTTAATTTCATCGGCATGTTTAAAACTCTAACATCAGACCGTTTCCAAGTTCTCGTCAGGCACCTTGTTTTGCAGGTGGTCAAGTCATTAAAATCTCATTTCCTGTGTTTTCTTGTTTGTGAAAAGGGAGAGAATCTTTGAATTTGAACAATGGATGGCAAAGCCCCTGTCGGAAAATTGAAGGTGTCTCGAGCAGTGAGCTTCCAAACATTCTTTGAATTCTTGCGAAGTTACATGAACTTCAATGAACTCCCAAACTCTTTCCGAAAAGAGCAGTTACGGAGGCAATGTCAGTGGCCTGTCAGTGTCAGAGGTTTTCAGATGAGTGAAAAACAAGACTGAATACCTTAATAAATAGTATTCTTACTATAGTTAACTGAGGAATTGTGCTATTAAAAGATAAGTAAAAGAAATTTGATCACATAAGTTTTGATCAACTTAATGGAAGGAAAGGAGTGTGTTTACAGTACGATTATCTTCCCTGTACCTGTTTTGCAGTCCGGCCCCGTCCAGCCCTCCATGCAGCCCCTGTTCCCGAACTGGTCACACACATAATGGCCGAAGTAGTCATCTCGAGGACGGCAAACTGTGTTGCACTTGCTGCCGTAGTAGTTTTCGTCGCAGCGTACGCGGATGGTGTACTCCAAGCTTGCGATCAGGCTTTTATACTCCACCGTCTGCCTCTCCTCTCCGGGATTAATCATCCCTTTGTGGATGCTGCGCTCGATCAGCAGCTCATCATCTGGACCAAAGACAAACAAATGAACACGTTGAGGCAGTGACACTGTTGAGTTCTTTGTGCTGATGTGATAATAAGGGCAGATTTAACAAAACTGTTAAATCCTTGAGTTCAGACAGAACTCCAGGTGACTTGTTTTAAAAAGACTTACAGATGACTTTGGCAAACGTTACGCTATTTTGGGTGACTGGAGCTTAAACTCAAATCCGATAAGAGCAGGACAGAGCGGCTAACCAATTCTGAGCATCCACGACCATAAGGGGAATACCATACAGTGGCTTTTCCAGTCCTGCATGGAGCGGTTTCTAATGAAATCTGTAACACCACTAAATAACGCGGCTGGCTAGTGAAACCTTGGATATAACATTAATGTCACCACCGAGTTATTATGCTAACGTTTGCAGCTTACACGAGACCAGACAAACACTCGTGATGCCCAGTATGGCTCTTACTAGACCACTTCATCATGCAGAGAAATCCAAAGCTCAAGTGCTAGTTACGTTTGCGACTATGATCGGATAGAGTGGCGTTTGGCGAACAATCATCTGACTAATCGGCTACTTCTCCAGCACTACAGAAGAAAGAACACTCAGCAGGTCAAGTATTTGGGTCAGTTAGATAGAAATGTCTACAACAAAAATTCTGAATGACATTCCAGAGAGCAGGGCTGATTCCGGTTTAAGGGATTTGACCCATCAACCCTGTGTTCAGTGAGATAAGACTATGAGGCTTCGAAGAATGCTTGTTGTTCACACACACATCAGAGGGAAGGTGCAACCTCCGGTCAAACCTTTACTCTGTTCCACCAAGAATGTGGAAGACGAAAAAAAAAAAAAAAGAAGAGGAGGAAAAAGGTGGAAAGAATGGGAAAATGAAGCGAGCACAAACAGAGGGTGTAGGAGCGAGGTCTGCGAGGGCTTGATAACCAAAATTCTTTTTCAGTTTTCCTGCTCGGTGAAATGCCTTTCTGTCCCCCACTCTACCCCCTCCCTCTGTCCCCCCGCTCAGGATATCCAGCCCCAACTCCATCGGAGCCAGGCCGGAAATAATAAGAGACGGGGAACAGGCGAGGAAGGGCGACATAGGAAAGGCCCTTTAGCTTGTTCTCAAGGAACAGAAGAACCGTGACCCAGCAGGCTTTGCTACTGTGGCTCAGAGAGCTGAGTGTGACCTGGACGAGACAGAGCTGGAAGGAAGAACTCATCCTCTCTGCTCACAGCCGAGAATATGAGACCACTTCAGTGGCAAGTATAAGCTACATTTCGACAACCCGGTGTGACTATAAATGCTGCTGTTAACATTTCCCTTAATGACTAGGGATGCAGCGATTACCGGATTTCACACGCTTAAAAACGTCACAGTTAATTAATAGTAAAGGCTCCGCTACACCGAATCTATTGCAACTTGGACAAAACGAAAAGTTACACAAGCGGTGCAGCAGCTTAAAGTGCTGTTATCAGAGACATGGGGGCTACGATGGGTACACTGGCTAAACTATGGCAGAGGGACCAGACTGTGAAGGTTCCTGCTAAAGGAGCCAATACCTACATCAAACTTGATGCAGCACCTGCGGGATCACCACCCAGCTTTGCACGCCCAGGTAAAGGTATTGCATAATAATAAAAATGTGGCAAGTTGTTCGGGAATTAAATATAAACGTGTCACTTGAGAGTTGAGCTTTCAGTGCCATGGAAACAAACAAAGCTTGTGTAACCTTTCTGTAACCTTTCAACGTTGTCCCCGCAAGACTTTCAGTCACTGAACATTTAACGTTACATCCTGTTTCCACCAAAACTTGAATGGATGAGAGCTGATGACAGTAACAGTTCAGTTTATTCCCCTCCTTAATAACTCTTTTAGTCTAGGACGCTGCGTTTGGCCTTGGTTCACTTGGAGGCTGCTGAGCCCGGTTCAGTTGCCCATACTGCAGTCTGTCAGCCAACTAGAAAGCTAACTTAGCTGTAAGGCTAACTGAACTAACTAGTTAACTGTCCCTGTTTTTTCAGAGTATGACTTTGACAGGTGGAGAGTAGACTCAATTATTACACAATCTGAAAAACATATTGGCTATGTGAAATGTAACACAAGCTGCTTTGTATATTTTAATATCATCATGATAACTGAAGTTTCATTGCTGTAGAAAAAGACTGAAAACCCACTAAGAATCCATTTTCACGCTGTCCTGATTTACTGAGTCTCTCTGCGAGCTAACACACTGCCACAGATTTCAGTCCCGCACCCACCACCTGAAACACCCAGGCACTCACTCACTGCTGTTCATCTCTAGCAATTAGATATAAAAATATAGACCAATCACGAGCTCTCTCTGTACTGGAGGAGACACACTAAGAGAGGCCGTTGTTACCAGGGAGAGCAGGAGAGAGTGGGCCATATTAAACCAGCTTATATAAACAACGAGGGGCTTCAGATCTGAGCAGCTGATCGTGTCGAGAGCAACATGATTATCTGTGTGAAGAGAGGATTCATTTTAGAAACGAAGTCTGACTTGTTTTTACAGAGTTTTAAAGAGTTTTTTAGTTATATCCAACAAGCTGCTTGTAACTGGAGTGTTCTGTTTGGGCTGTTGTACTTTTTGCTTTGACCTTTGACCTCCTTACAGCTTGTAACAGTGTTGATTTTTGAACTGAAGTCAAGGCTGTGTTCATGCCGCCAGTTCAAATGTGTCATTTGGTTTCTCTTCCCCTGACTTCATCCAATGGTTTTCAGAAAGATGTACAGTCTGTTTTTTAATGCACCACATTGATTTGCTCTGCAAAATCTGCAAATCTTTAATTAAAATCTCAAATAAAGCATTTCAGTCCACGTTGAGAAATGAAGACATTTACTTACAACGCCCTTTTTTATTTAACAAAAGAAACCAAAGTTCTAACATATTTTCTGAACACAAGCATAACTGGCATGTGTTGATCAAAAATAAGTAAACAAGATTCCAAAAATAATCATACAGTATTAATTTCCCGCTTTAGCTCCAACTAAGGAACTTTTTTGTATCAATGTGTCAGTCATATCTTTTTTTGAATAAATCAAATAATCTTTTAATCTATAAAAGAAAAAATGATGATGCATGTCCGTCACACAAACCAGAGACAGTAAAATGTGAAGCCAGCAGCTAAAAAAAAAACCCTGGGCAATACTCATTTTATACAGAATACCGTAAAACTTTGAATAATAGCCCGGGCTTTTATTTGCTAAAATCACTGAATTGACCCTGCCTTTATTTGGGACAGGTGTCCATATGGGACAGACCTTTAATTCCTTTTGCACAAAACTGAAACTCCTATGAAACAGTTTATTTATATTATATTCATATATAATACTTGATCAAATAATACACGTCATTCATTTGATCTAGCTCCGACAGACGGCTTGTGTGCTTTTTTTATTTTGAAGGCAGCAGCTAACGAAAACAGGGTGCAGGATGACAGAAGTGCGGCAGAAGTTAGCAGACAGCAATGGACTTCACATGACAGGATTCACAACTTGGAAGAATTTTTATGAAAAGCTGTTTTGACTGTTTTGATCGGTGGACCCTCACAGACTAAAGGAAGATAAATAAACAGGAACGGACACATTCGGACTGAACGAGCGCTTCAAAGGTAACGGCAGTCAGCACTTTTTTTCCTTTCCTCTCCTACCATGCAGGTTACACCTGTAAATCTATAAGAATTAGACTTTGGGGCTCGTTGTTTCTGTTAAATGAATTGAACGATTGAATTGTGGAGAATCTAACCGATGTAACGATGTGCAGCATGTCCACACTGACACATTGATCATGTGTTTAAACATTAATATTTGTATTAACAATCTGAGCAGTTTAGAAGCAGCTAAAGCGGGCGACACTGCGGGGTTTAAGAGGTTTTATACATCCAAAGAACTTCTATAAAAACCAGACCAGGCGTTTAATGGAGACCTGCGTTTATTTGTCAAAATGCGTTCCCACACCAGGCCAGTTTATCCGTGTATGTTTGTCAGGCCTAACACACTGGAAACCTGTCTACAAGTAATAGCTTGTGATGCCTCTTTTTGTGTGGGCATGAGCTACGAGCAGTTACACCAAAAAGTGATTTTTCCTTCTCAGGTTGTTTATTTAGATGCCTGAGGAGGGGAATGTATCCATTCTACAACTTTCTTTTCCATTTAATCATTTTGTGACGCCTCAGACTTAACCCGCGGATGGATAATTGACGGATAGATGGATAAAGTAACTGTAAAAGCACACCTGGAATGAGCAACAGTGCCAAAACATCAGTCTCACATCAACAGTAATTCAGCAATGATAACATGGTTGTCAAGGAGTTCTATTGTTTTGGGAAGCTTCTGCCTCCGGGTGGTTCTGCGCTGTACCTCCAAACTTTTACTGCCATTTGTCATACGTTTTCTCTTTCATCTTAACAGCAACAGTAATAAACCTATCATTTCAAAAATGTCTAGAAGACTAGTTAAATGACCAATGTGTCCTCTCTTCTCTTTATGGATCTGTTTTAACCTGCTCGGTGTTACAGTTGAATAAGGTCGGGTTTCAAGAACAGGTTCCAAGGTACTGTTAACAAATTTCCTAGAACTGTGGATTTGATAAGACCCATGTGTTATCTGCCAGGAGCCGCTACGCCGATCTAACGTCACCTCATTTGTTACGTCAACAAAGCGTGAAGAAGAGAGTCCTTCTGTTTCCAGTCCCGGACCACGGCGGGCCGCAGCAAACACTCCAAAGTTTGGCTTAGCTTCACTAAAAAAAGAGAACGAGACAGCAAAATGCAACAGCTGCAGTAAGGAGGTTTGGTGCGAGGGAGGAAGCAGCTCCGACATGACGAAGCGTTTACTGCAACACGGCGTGAATCTGAAGGAACGCAACGTGTTCAGTGTGTCGCGCTCTCCCAGATCCAGCTAACGCTAACGGAAGCAATGCCTCAGGTACAAAACACAGGTGAGCTGACGTTCACCTTTTATACTGAAGGGAAACCAATGACGTCTACAGGTGATCCAAAAAGACTGAAAAAATGATTGGAAAAAGAACCGAGATTCCATAAGCAGAATCAGAATCAATAAAACTGAAATGATACCCAGCCCCACAGTTGGATGACGTTAAGTGCATTAAGACACTTTAGATGGCAAAATGAAAATTATAAGGCATAAGAAATTGCACTAAATCAACTTTGAAATGCTGTCCTGTGTTTGCCAAAACTTTGTCATGGATCATTTTATTGTTGCATCCAGCTTGGCGCAAATACCCACTTCAGTTAAGATGCAAATCACCTTTTTTTCATTGCTCACGTCAGTCGACTGAGCAGTTTTTGGGCGGTTTTCTTGTCAATACAATACCAAAGTGCCAAAACCAATACTTTCTCTGATACCTGAACAGCCAGTATAATAGTGTTAGGCCGGCAAGACAGTTTCTCAACACACTCGGACTTCCTTACCCTGTCTGTGGCTCTCATTCCCAAGCCCATTGGATAGTAGTAAAGACCTGAATCGCAATAAATAGCACAAATATATTGTTTCATTTTTAAAAGGGCCCAAAAATTGCTGGTAACAAATGTTACTTAAACAACAGGGAAATGGTGAATTTCACTGAAATGGGGACTATTTTCAGAGGGGGATTAATACACATTTGGTGCTATAGTAAGTATTTCCAGACGACGTGTGTGGGACTGAGGGGTTTCTATTTTATGGAGTTTGTTTACAAAGACTGAAATATAGAACATCATCAAACTTTAACCTCTGGTTTCGGACGAGGGGGGAATCTGCAGTACAGATGTTCCACTGCACAATGTCTGACCGAGTATCGGCACATCTCTACGCTCTAGTGAGGCTCCACACCAGCCAACAATCCAGCAGCACACAGAGTCAACAACAGCTCCGTCCTCTTTTCTCCTGCCATTTCTGTTTTGTTTTTCAAGGAGGCGGGGGCTTCCTGAAGCATAAACAACCTTCACAAAGCCTTATTTTTCCTGAGGCCTCTCCAACCTGCTGCCCAGACCTGTTCACACAAGGCTCCAGCAGCACACACTGCAACATGAAGCAGGAAACTCACTTCATGTCGTCTCAAAGAATTCACCACCGTTCTGTAATCCCATAACTGTTGTAATCATTATGATAAAGCCATCATTTAAGTCCTGTTTTGCAAAAAACTAAATATTTTCTGCCTCCAGCTTATCAACATGTAAATATATTATTGTCTTCTGTGACGGTCAATTAAATATACTCAGGTTGTGGAAAAACGATCAGATAAAACAAGTCATTTAAATATGTAAGTGTGGGCTTTAGGTATTTCACTATTTTCTGACATTTCAGATTAATCAACAGCAAAAAACCGAACTGAGAAAAGTGGCAAATCCTCAGGTTTGAGCAAGTCCTGTCCAAACCTTTCTGCCACTGTACAATACAAAATGTTTTAGGAAACCATTTAAAGAAGGCGTCATACTGGCTGGGTGTGATCGCAGAGCTACATTATTAGCTGTCAAACTTGGTTTCACTAACCTTAATTTACTGTAGGTCTACTGTACATTAATTATGCATTGTGCAGCTGTGTTACGTATGAAAATACCGTGCAGTCTGCTGAGCACTTGTGTTGGCAGACAATCACAGGACTCAAAATGGGCTCTCGGGCAAAACAAAACTTGATTGGGACATCCCTAGATTCTTATACCTGTGAACACCTGGCCTGTGAGAGATGATAACTCTCACTCTCTCTCTAATTATTCCACAGTTTCACTAACGCTCGCTCCACCAGCATGTAACACCCACAGCTGGGTAAAACAGGTTCATGCTTGCTCTCGTTTTGAAGTTTGTCAAAAGTTATTCACGAAAATGTAGGAAATCCAAAGGTGATGCAGACACCAGATACACCGAGACATCACATTTATTATTCATGGAGGGATTTGCTTATTATAAAGTTACATATATATTTTTAGCTTGTCCAGTATGACAGGTAAGGCTTCACCTTGCCAGGGCAATTTGGCAGCTGACAGACTCACTGACAGATTCAAGGAGCAAACCTGTGATCACGCAATGGGAATACACTTAGTCCAAGTCTACAAGATGGGACACGGCGGGTGAGCGTCAGCACTTTCCTGCCTGTTACTGCCTCCCAGCCTCGCCCCTACGAGGATTAATAAAGCATCTCTCCAGCCATCACACCGGCACATCTACAGGTGGTCGAGCAAGCAAAGATTTAAGAGTCCCACCACCAGAGCTGCCGTCCAGGCCGCGGCACGCAGTCCGGACGCCGGCCTGTGGCAGTGTTTCAGGATAATGAAGTGGCGTGTGGTAGCCGAGGAATAAGAGGAAAGGGTGGGGGGGGGCGGCAAAAAAAGAGAGCCATGGTCCGTAATTAATGGCTTAACGATGCAATGCTCTCACAGGCTTAATATAGGGAGCTGAAAACAGTCTGAGTGACCCTGAAGAGGTTAGAAAAGGGGAGATGGAAGAGGAGAAGCACCAATAAGCTACATGTCAATCATAAGTCAGATCTCGGTGGGACAGTCAAAGCCCACAGGTGACTTTTGGAGAGCTGTTAGATGTCACAGAGCAACGGTTTCATATCCTGAGCTAGGTGGGGCTTTCTTTTTATTGTTCTATAAGCCAATGCCTGCTCACCAAATCTGCTACGGCTGTAAAGATGTCGGTATGATCAAAACAAACTAAACTGTAAAAACTTATTTGTGTCTGGAAGCAAAAAGGTTTACAGTTGTTCTGTAAAGCCACGTTTGAAAGCGAGGTTAAAAAAGCACTGAGAAGATTTTATAAAAATGGCGGGCGACCTTGTTGGCTTTGGAACTTTACAAACATTTTCAGACGCAGCCGCCCCACTTCAACTCTTACACTGACTTATCACCGGACAGCTCTACGGTGCAGAAAGAGCTGACACATAGCATCACAGCAGCTGTGAGAAGCGTCTCAAACCATTATCAAGCTGTGTCATTTCCAGGCAATGTCTGGAGGTGAAAGGGAAGGTTAGAAGCCAAAGTAAACGAAAGAAATATCCAAAGAAGTGTTATTTTTAGTGGTATAAGAACAACAAGGGAGGGACTAAAGGCATGTTAGGAGGATAGCTGGAGTCATATAACGATCTGGGATTATCTGGAAGGTGAGCCAACACCTAATAGCGAAGCGAATCCCACGTTGTCTTATCACATAGATTATAAGCAGAATACAGCTGAATGCAAAAGAAATCAGTGTGCAGGCAGCAGGCAGGTTAGAACTAAACATATAGGCTGTGTCGTTCCATATAAAGCTGCTCAGGACAGTGATCGACCGATTCGGGTGGTGGATTTCAGAGTGCGACTGGTGTTTAAGGGAGAGTTGGGTACAGTTTCAGTCATTCAGCTGCATTTTTCTCTACAAGATAACTAATTATAGTTAACACCAGTCAGCAATGGTGATAGTAAATATTTGATTATATCTTTTCATGTGACAACACTGAAAAAATTACGCTTTGCTCCAATGTAGCTTGTATAACAGTGTAAATCTGCTGTCCCCTCAAAATAACACATCACACAGCCGTTAATATCTAAACCGCTGGCAACAAAAGTGAGGACACCCCTAAGTGAAAATGTCCAAATTGGGCCCAATTAGCCATTTTCCCTCCCCGGTGTCATGTGACTCGTCAGTGTTAGAAAGTGTTACAAGATTTACAGAAATGGAAAAATGTGTAACAATCTGTATCTGGTGTGGCCCTGTGGTCCCGTGCAGGTGTTGTCACATGTGATCTGCCACTGCGAGGACGATCAGCTGTCCTTCCTGTGTCCCTGTAGCGCTGTCTTAGGAATCTCACGCAGACATTTGCATTTTATTGCCATGGCAACATTTGCAGTGCTAGTGCGTCCTTGCGGCATGCCGAAGGCACGTTCGTGCAGATGAGCAGGGTCCCTGGGTATCTTTCTTTTGGTGTTTTTCAGAGCGAGTAGAGAGGTGTCTTTTGTGTTTGCTTCCTAAGTTTTTATAACCTTGACCTTAATCGGTACGCTGTTAGTGTCTTAACGACCATTTCACAGGTAACACAGGGAAGAGTCCTGAAAAAGGGACGTTTCTTTTAATAAACACTTCGGATTTCCAACATGTTCGGACAATCAGGCCCTTAGTTTTCTTGATAGACGAACCAACCAACACTTTCTAGTTAGGGCTTGTTAACGCATCGACTGTGTAACATTATTACAGGATAATAATAGTAAGCTGCCACACAAAGCCAAAATGTGAAACAAATACTGTGAACAGAACATAATCACATTCAAGTGGGCTGTATGTAAAATTAAATCAAGTGTGAGTCAGGATGGAGAGGAGAGCAAAGCGCAAAGATCATTTCTTTTCAACAAGACAGTGTTTAAAACAGCACAGAGGGCCGAACCTTACCGTTGCTGTGTGTGCCGTTGTCCCTGTCCCACGCCTCCACAATCACAGTGTACGCTCGCTGAAATGGAGAGAAGGGAGGGGGGCAGAGGTTATCAAAGTGCACGCTAATACAGAAACACAGAAACTCAGATATGCCCACTTCAAGACGCAGACGGGCACATGATGTGGAGTTTCCACAGAAACTCAGATATGAGCTGCCTTTCGCTCATAAACAGACACACACGGGCACTTTCAAACATACACAGATATTTAGTATGAAAGGTGATGGGAAAATGCTTCCTGTTCCCACGCTGCTGTCACTGATTAGCTTCCATCTGTCACAGGCAAGTTAACAAGTGTCCAAAAACAAAACATTCACCTGGAAACCAACAAAACCTATTTTTCATATTTCATCATGACAATCTGGTTTCAGAGCGGCAGCGATTTACTGTGACACTGTTTTGATCCCAAAGGGCGGACATTTGTCTTTTGCTTGGCTCTGCAGGGAGGTCAGCACCCCTGGAACTAGCAGGGATTTGATGACTTGCTCAAGGGCACTTTGTGTGGTTACGTATTGATTTCCAATGGGGAAATTCATTTTTCCTGTCTTTTCCTCAGGGACCTGGTAAGGAAAGACAATGGAATCAATACTGTTCAGGGTTTCGATCTCCGATAATGTCAAAGGGAAATTATTATAATTTTTAATATTATTATAATTATTATATACCGCTTTTATTTGCTAAAATCACTGAATTGACCCCGCCTATATTTGGGACAGGCTACTACGAAACAGTTTATTTATTTCAAACAAAAAAAAATTATCCAATAGTATCAAATACACGTCATTCATTTGATCTAGCTCTGACAGACGGCTTTTGCGCTTTTATTTTGTAGGCAGCCACGTAATGAAAACAAGCAGCAGCTAAAGCGGATGACCCCGCAGGGTTTAAGAGGTTTAATACATCTGAAGAACTTCTATAAAAACCAGACCAGGCGTTTAATAGAGACCTGCGTTTATTTGTCAAAATGTGTTCCCACACCAGGCCAGGAAACGGGGTCGGCGGCTCTTTGGGACTCGGCTATTAATTGTAGTTTCAATCTAAAATCTTGCTTTTAACTACGTGTTTGCGTTCCTCAGAAATGAACCCGTTTACTAGTGGAATATGAAATAATATCAGCAACAACAACAAATGACAACAGCACGTTTATAAATGACTGAATATGGCAGAACCAGCTACGACAGCCTTTTCCAGTGTGATTGAGTGCCGCCATGTTTAGCTAAGACTTCTCGACTTGTCCAGACTGAAAGTCCTCAAGGTTTGGCCCCGATCTGCCCCCCTATTGGATATCTTATTAATGCTCATTGTCAAAATTGTGGTGAAAAGACTATATATTTAATAAGTGAGGCAGATTATTTATCAGTGTCAGGAGATGACAGCGAATGATCTCTCACTTTGTGCATTTGCACTACGGAAATCAGAGCAGCAAGCCGCAAGGTCTGGAACAGAAGGGAAATCTTTTAGAGTGAAAAGTTACATTTAAATTTTAATGAGCATAATGATGTTTCAACCCTTTTTTCTTCATTTAGCAGTTAGTGCAAAGTTTACCAGACGCAAACACTGCTGTCAATTCATTTAAAATTTACTGCAGTTAATTCTGAAAGAGAATTTTGGTAAATAATACCAACATCATATTCATTATTTTACACTATTTAGTGCTATAATACGAGTTTTCTGTGGACACTGTGTATAGAAGCGCAGCATGCCTGCACACTATGCTCTACTTTCCAGAGGAGACAGCCATTCCATAGCAACAAACTCAAACTCTGGATTGTTTCAGGTGCGGGGCTAATTTCTTTCCCTCTTTTTCATGGGCATCAGCAAACAAACCGAAATGGAGCTCGCTGTCTGTCAACTGCATGGGGCCGAATGAGCAGCTGTGAGTTCCCATGACCCGAGTCTGACTCAGAGTGACTGAGGGCTGCAGGGAAGATTACAGGGGAGGTTACAAAGTGGTGCTGGGAGAGATTAGAGACGCAGAGAAGACGGGAACATGAAACACAAAGGTAGAGGGCTAAAGTGCTTTATGGCGCTTTTAAGGTCATTTTATGGGACTCAGATTCTGGGGGGTAGTTCACCAGAAAGATGCAGGACAGACAAAGTCCTGAGTCAGATATGAGACCATGCTGCTACAAGTACTTAGTAGTTGCTTTAGGGTGTGTGCACAACAAGCAGGTTTGGAGCTGTTTCCCCAAATTAGGTAGCGTTCATGTCTTTCTATTTGGCTTTGATGAGGTGAGAGCATTCAAAACATAATAACACTGCAGAGACACAAGCCTCAAAAAGTCATCCTCTGCAACAAACAACCACGCCATGGAAAGTTTTACTGTCGTTAAGAGCTGCAGCTAATGACTGTTTTCAGTTTGGATTTAATTGTTTAATCTTCAAAATGTCTGTCAGTCGTTATTATGTGAGTTAATCAGCTAATCGTTTCAGAAGCTGCTCATATTCAGCTCTTTCTTCTGTTTCTGTTAACTCTGCTGTGGTTTAATGTGCATCAACAAACACACATTGTAAGACTGACAAAAGTCACAATTCCAAAATCAGTGATTGGGCTTTGGAGCAGGCGAGTAAGTGGATCGCTGTTGTCAAAGTCAAGAATAACTCGTTAAGCTCAAAGAAAACATGGTCGCCGGTGGTTCCACACAAACATTATCAGCTACAACTCTACAAAAAAAACAAAAACACAAAGAACAACAGAGAGTCATCAGTGCATAAAAATGACATACTGATATTTATGAGACTCAGAAAAGGGGAACTGAAGGAGATAAAGCAGCTGATCATTTACAAAAGATGGGACAAGCAGGCTGAGGTCTCCTTTAACCTCTGACACTCATTGACCAAATAGAAGCATTAAAACAAAGACCTGGATCTGGAGCAGATCAAGACTGCATCTGAACCCACATGGATCTGTATGGACTCCCGCTAGCTTGAGAGTCTCTCCTGTCTCCACTTTCCCTGGTTCTTAGTCAACCCTGCTGCTGTAGATCGTTTGCCAACGTTAGTGATGAAATCCAGAGCTGGATCGATCCCACGGTGACTTACTAATGAAATCAAATGTGGGAAAATGTTCATTTTTCAGACAGGTTTTGTGAGCCTGGGGGCGTTGACGTAATGCCGTCTAACTTCCAGAGAGAGCCAGATGTATTCACAGCAGTATTTTCACAATCTCATTTTTTTTGTTGTTTACCATCCTCTCGCTCTGAGAGTGTAAGAACATGTTACACCATCATCGTCGAGTGAGAGACACCGTGGTGGCTGTAGTCTGAGGAACAGCGCTGCACACGTGTAACTGTACTGCATGTGTTCTTTGTACTACAGGAACTTTATTTAGATGTTCTCCCCACACTTTGAGCTGGAACTAAACTTCAGGAGCTGACACTAATGCCGCGTTCAAGACTGCTTGGAACTTACACATTTCAGCTGCATGACGCCAAATCTAAGCGGTGAACATGTCTGACCTTGACAAACCATCAGCAGTGCACTTGGTGTTAATTGAAAGGACGGCCATTTTGTTAAAAGCAAGTGATAAATATACGTCACTCGTTCACTGTGTATCCTTCTAGCTACATCACTTGGTAATTCTCAAAAGTCAGCAAAAGTGTTTTCACATTTCTGGGCATTTTTAACATTTTCCTGAATAACTTTTGGGCAGAGAAGATGACTTTCAGAGATTGTTTACTGGAACCAGCTACCTAATAACACAAATGACAAAATATTTCTACATCAGTTTACATGCAGATCAAATCCGTAGGAAATCCGACATTTCCCCATTCTGAGTTGCCTGGAACGCAGCATAAATCCAGACCACACTGCTGTCGATCCTAGTGAACAGACATCTACATCTCTCAGTAGACATCCCAGTAATATTAACTAGCTCCTGTACAACCACTAGGCATCTTTAGGTTTAGGTTTTAGTATTACAGTGTTTAGTCAGAAAAATGTGCCTGCTTAGCTCCATGCGGAAATGATTTTACACAACTAAAACATACAGCTGTAGGGTTCATGTGATCAGGGTGCAGCATGACTTGTGTTGAACATCACTGCCAGACAAAGTCTGTCTCAGTCTCCAAACTACACAAATATCAGCTCCTATGACTACTAACCCAAAACTGGTCACAAAGGACCCCCCCGGGCTCCTCATCATGCCGAGGCTCCTCTCCATCACTTGGAGATGACACAGCGGTGATTTATGAGCCCAGTGAGCAGCCTTAACTCTGTAATGAGTGGAAATAAGTGGACGTTATCATAATCAATCTTTCCCTTTGTAATCAATTTTAAATGTCACAGCCACTGGCTCCCAGGCAGATGGGGCCGTCCCACGGCCTCAGAGGAGCCTGACACGAGTGTGTGTTGTGTGTGCGGTATGCGTGTCCTTGAAGGATAGGAGCAAAGGATCAAAGTGTCACGTCCCTGCTGTCTGCAGTGAGACAACCTTATGAGTCAACTGTGTGTGTGTGTGTGTGAGACGGGGGGGACGTGTTGGGAGACACTTGACACCTCCTAACCAATTTACAGGAGTCAGAGGGATTTGAGTTTTCATTAGGCGAAGAGAAACCAGCCCACTCCTCACCGCCTTCACCTGTTCAATGAATAAATTACTGCTTCTTCAGCACGACAGGAACAGCCGCCAGCAAAACACAACTCTACTGAGGATACACTGTACGTTCTGGAGCGGCGCCCCACACTGTGAAATGTGGTTTTTATACATCCTAATAAGATTTATTCTTCAGTTCTGCTGCTACTACTTCAGGATGAGCTGCCAGCCATTCACTTACTTACTCTTGATTTATTCTCTGTGAAAAACACTTGGTTTGGAGCCAAGGTTCTGTTTGTTTTATATTTCTCTGAGATAGTTATAGTACCATTAGCTGCCGCTACATTGGGCGTGGAGCCTCGTGAACTGACGAACAAAGCAAGTAAATCCATGAGTCCCTGTAACACTACATTACAATACAACATGCACTTGCTGTTAAGGACAGACTGACAGAGAAAAATCTAAAGTTAATGGAGAAATCTA